CAATAAACATGGGTGTGCATATATCTGCTTGGATGTCGGTTATGGTCTCTTTAGGGTATATTCCCAGTATTGAAATTGCTGGGTCAAATGGTATCTCTATCTGCAACTTTTTGAGAAAGCGCCACAGCACTTTTCACAGTGGTTGCACCAATTTACACTCCCACCATCAATGAATAAGGGTTCCAGTTTCTCCACAACCTCACCAGCATTTGTTGCTTGCTGTTCTGTTAAATTTTGCTATTCTGACTGGGGTGAGATGATATCTCGTAGTTGTTTTAATTTGCATCTCTCTTAGAGCTAGGGATATTGAACATTCCTTTATGTGCTTTTTGGCCATCTAAATGTCTTCTTTGGTGAAATGTCTGTTCATATGCTGTGTCCATTTATCAATTGGATTATTTACCTTTATTTTGTTGTGGTAAGGCTGCAATTTTTTAAAAAAGAAAATACATAAATATATTCAGATATTGGGAAATCTGTTCGTTTTTAAACTCATCATGTGGGAAGTAAATGAGATGAAATTTGCGTCAGAATTTATTTTTAAAAAGCAGGCAACCTGAAACGATTCCATTTTCTTTCTTACAGGTGTTTGCTTCAGAATGGTAAGTCAGTGCTCTTTCTTGTTTTATCTTCACTGTTAACTTCCAACAACAACGTCAGAATCATGTTCTCTTTAGTGTTCTACCACTGCTTGCATTCTTTCCTTGATAGAAGGTAAATGAAGGAGTGTTTGCTTATCTCTGAATATACTGGATGAGATTTTTATGAAAACTCCTAAAGTTAATTTGTTAAGAACATTCCAGCCTTCCTAGTTTTTAGTAATTTCTATGAATATCAAAAGTATCTCTGGGTGGTTCAAGGTAACAATTCTAAATATTAAGTATCTCAACTTCATTAACAACATGCCTCCGGAAACTCTGTGAACTTTGGTTAATATCCGTAGTTGTAGAGGAGCTTCAGGCCTTTTGTTCATAGGGTCGCTATGAGTTGTGCTTCATTTGAAGGCAATCAGTGACAACAACATATATTCAATGTAGTAGAAGTCTTGCAGGCAAAGTTACGTATTTCATTTAAAAAAAATGCTAGTGTTGGATTAGGAAGTTGTTCCTAGAGTTTTAGGTGTTTAAATTCCCTATAGTATTTCTCATTTTTATTTCTTACCCCCATCCTAAATGGTAGTTGTGCTGTGTGATCTTGCCTCCTGGCTATATTGGGATTTCCTGGGTTGAGTCTGTGGCTCTTTGTGAGAAGGGTTGAGATGTTCCTCGGGAAGGGCTTGGTGTTTCCAAGTCAGCCCCCTCCACTGCAGTTCTTATTATTAACCGAATTACTTTCAGAACCCACTCACCCCTCCCTCTTAGCTTGTAACAGTTTGTGTTGCTTGCTTCAGTTTGTGACTTGGCCCATAAGGACCTTGATCATACGGGCCTCCAAACAGGAGGACGGTAGGTTTTTAAAAAATACTTCTACTAGACTAGATCCACAAGAATCTTAGCATATGTAGTTAAAATAAAAATATTAAAATGCTGCTAATTTTTACTTTTCAAGTCATGTAACTGCACTTAGAACCAAGAAAAAAAATATCACAACCAACCAACCAAACTTCTAAGGGTAATAAGAGAAATAAATAGTACTCCTAATTGATCATGACTAATTCTGCAACATCTTAAGAACCAAAAGAGAATATAACTTTAAATTAGCATATTCAAGCTGGAGTTCTGGCTAGTTTAATTTTTAAATTATCCCCCCCCCCTTTTTTTTTTATAACAAATTTCAAAACCTCTTAGCATCTATTTCTGCCTGTGAGTATCTTATGCTGAATATGTTAGACTTTTCTTCTAGTGACTGAGAATTTTGGAGCAATCAAATTTGAGCTCAGATTAACAAATCCATTTAGTATTACCTGGCAAAAAGACAATGTAACTAGATTTTATGGATCTCAAAACACATTGTGGGAGCTGGTTTCAGATCCATTTTCCACTGTCAGTTTATTTTCTCGGTATGCTTGTCTTCACTGATAGTATAATTGAACAACAATGAAACCCCATTCAGCTGGATCTTCAGAGGCATTGTTGTAGACCAGCAACACAGTCTGGGACTCTGGTGGCTTAGTGGTAAAGACTTGCCCTGCCAGCCCAAAGGCATACGGTTTAAGTCTACCAGCTGCTCCAGGGGAGAAAGACGGACAGTCTTCCTGGGAGATTTTTAGCCTCTGAAAACTCACTGAAGGGTCAACCATGAGTTGCATCTGACTGGAGCCAATGAGTTGGAATTTGAGTTCTATATATATTAGGAAAAGATAGATATATGTATAGGTGTAGGTATAGGTATAGAGAGAGATATATGTTGTTGTTGTTTGTCGTAGACAACTCATAGCGGCCCTATGAACAAACAGCCTGAGCACTGTTCGTACATTGAGTTTCTGGAGGCAAGCCCTTTCGGAAATGGATGCCGCTCCTGCTTCCAGGCTTGATTTAGTCGGGAAGCTCCAGCCAACACTGTCCACCATGGGTACCCATTACCACGATTGGCACATCACTGTCACAGGCTTCCTCTCCCAGCTGCCTTTTGGCTTAAGGCCACCTCCTGGTTCAAACCTTAGGCCCAGGCTGGCTAGCCTCACTCCCGGGGACAGAGCAAACCTGCACATAACAAACACGTCAAACACATGCCCGGGAAAGCAGTCGACTCCAAAAGCTGATCTCTGAATCAGCTTAGAATCAACTGTGTTATGAATTCAGACTTTTTGAGGCTGGGCCTCGTCTCTTATTTTTCTCCTGAAATCAGTACACAGAAGGTGAAGCTAAGAAGTTGGGCGTCGTTGGCTGGGTGAAGAACACAAGCAAAGGCACCGTGACAGGTCAAGTGCAAGGCCCTGAAGAGAGAGTCAATTCCATGTAAGTGCCAAGGCTGGAGCCAGCTTGCTTTTATCGTGTTTATAACATGTGGTCTGTATGTTAAGCATTTTACCTCATTTATCTCACATGCAGTTGATGAATTTTCATAACATCTTATTGAACATTCTATGAATGGACTCTATTCAATTTGTAGATTACAGCTACACCAACATGGTTTTTAGCAACACAAGAGTCAGGGTCAACTCAATGGCAACTGGTTGTATTTTGATTTTTGCTGTCAGTCAACGTGTGTTTAGTGTACTCTGTGGTGACATAATAAGAGCAGTTACAACCCATAGAAACCAGATTCAGTGGTACGGGGGGAAATGCCCTGTGCACACAACATCTTTTTTTAGAGGACTTATGTTTCCATCTTTGTAATTTCTACTGATCTCTCCAGTCTTAAAAAAGTTTTTGTTTTTTAATTAAAAGAACTAACATGTATTGAGAATTTCTGACATCCAGTGTGCTAAGCACTTTGTATCAATTATCTTATTTAGTCTTCACAACTAATCTTATGAGGAAGGTACTAATTTTAAACCATATTTATCTTATTTCATCGATTAAATTTATCTTCCTTTTCATTAATTTTGGTTTTTAGATTTAAAAAGTAATAGCTTTTTGCTCATTGTAATATGTAATGTAAAACACATACAATACAGAGAAACATAAAGACACAGTCACCTACCCCTTTCCTCTCCTCCTTCCTGTATGTAATATATGCAAATGACTGAGTGAATACACAGGTTTTTGCACTTAAAAAATATTTATGTATATAGTCATAATGGATTTTGCATTTTTCATTACAGTAGAATCCCTTATGCATATTTTTCTGCACCATGGGTTTCCCTCCCCCTCTTTTTATGGCGTATCCTAACAGCTCTATCTCTATTTTCTTTCGATTAAGTATATACTTACTATGTGTATGCATGTTTGGAAAGCTACACTCTAACTAAAAAAAAAAGTTTTCCAGAATTTCACAACTAACAAAAACATTTTTTTCTTGTGTGTCATCATAAAACCCTAACCCTAACTTTTGCTTTCCAAGCACCAGCTTAATGAAACTTTATTACATGTTCAATTTTAGATTGTAAAACTTGGTGGGAATCTTTAATTTCTTCATTTTTGGCCTTAGTGATTGGTACATATGTTTTATTCATAGTAATATTAATAGATCTTCTTTGTATGTCTGTGAATAGAATCACTCACAGCATTGTGCTTCAGCATGGGTATTGAAATATTCTTTTTGACTACAAATATGACCCCACTCCTCTTTAGTATGAAGAATAATTATCAAAACAGGTACAAACAGTCAAAATAGGCTGGGGACTGACTGTGGAACAGATCATCAATTATCCATGTACAAGTTCGAATCCAAGCTGAAGAAAAAGAAAACAAATTCTTGAGAATATAACATTTTGTCTACTCCAACTGAATTTAAAGGCCATCTCAAGAATAGATTTGGTGCATTGGACACTCATGACTGAAGACCAGATGAATTGTAGGATGGCATCAAGGATACCATCCATGAAGAAAGCAAAGACAGGAGAGGAAGATTAAAATGAATGTCAGAAGAGATACTTAAATTTGTACTAGAACACCAAGAGGCCAAAGCAAAGGAAAGATATGCTGAAGTGAGAGAGCTGAACAGAAGATTTCAACGGGCAGCTCAAGAAGGCAAAGCGAAATAAATGTGCCAAGAGCTGGAGTTAGAAGCAAGACCACATGCAGTATTTCTCAAGCTTTAGTATTGAAGAATTCTATCGAGGGCTCAGATCCATTGTTCATAGAGTCATAGTCAACTTGATGGCACATAATAACAACAACATGGGTAAAACATTGAATGGTGTAGAAAATATCAAAAGAAGATGGAAAGAATACATAGAGTCACTGTATGAAAAATAGGTAGTCACCACAGAACAATTTTAGGAAATAGCATTATGATCAGGAATCAGTAATAACAAAAGAAGTAGTTCCAGCTACATTAAAGACACTGGCAAAAGACTCTAGGAATTGTCAGAGGTTACTGATTGAAGTGTTACAGCAAAAGATACAACTCTGGATGTGGTTACTCACCCATGCCAAAATATTTAGATGTCAGCAACCAAGCCAACTGACTTGGAGGTTTGTTCCCAATTTAATGATGGCTGGATGGTGTAAATCTGCTAGCTGTTTCTGGGGGAAAAGATGGACCATCTCTTTGCACGCAATTCACAGCCTCTGAAAACTTGTGGGAGGGTTGGCTATGGGTCAGTTCTGACTCGACAGCAATGAATGAAGAAGTGAATATCCCTCAATATAGAAATACCTTTATTTATAATTCTATTAATGGGAACTCAAAGAAGCCCTGTGGCTAGTCACTCCATGGAAGAAAGGTGGACAGTCTCATTGCATGAAGATTACAGCACTGGGAGCTCACCATGTTCACTAAAAGTCAGAATCCACTTAAAGGCAGTGAGAGTTTTTTTTTATTTTTTTGAGGACTTTGTTGTTTTTATGTACCATCGAGTCACCTGTGACTCATAGTGACTCTATACAGCAGCTCTGAAGCCTGCCCTCTCCTGAGCCAGTCTCACTGTCTCTGACACACCCAACCCTCATTATGCCAGTTACTGTGTCAATCCATCTCATCCGGGGGTTGTCTTCTCCTGCGCTGTGCCTCAGCATGATGTCCTTCTCCAAGGACCGGTCGCCTTCTGGCAACATGTGCAAATTATGTGAGACTTCAAAATCCTAGCCTCCAAGGAGAAACTTGGTTTCACCTTCTCCAAGACAGACTTGTTTGTTCTCTTGGCGTGTTCAGAACCACAGCTCAAAGGCATTGATTCTTCTTCTGTCATCCTTAGTCATTGTCCAGGTCTTTGATGCATAGCAAGTAATTGTAAAGGCCATGGCCTGAATCAGGCACATCTTAGTCTCTAGACTGACATCTTTCATGCCATGTCTGGTTTCTGGCAGTAAGAGCACTGCTCTTAAGGATTTTATTGGTGATTTTATTTTTATGGGCTAGATTCCAACATGTGTGATTTGTTGATGTATCTGTATATTGTAAGTTTAGAAATCTTGCACTGTTTTCCAAAACAGCTGGGAACAATTTTGGTTTCCCCTCCTGTATACTATCAGTATTTGATGTTATGATATTTTTTTTCACCTCACTAGATATAGAGTGACATATTATTTTTACTCTATTTTGTATCTCTGTAATTCCTGGTTTATTTGAGTATCTCTTGTTTGTGATTATGTGTATTCTATGAAGCTGTTTTTCACATAATTTACCCATTTCTCCCACTGGATTGCTGGTCTCGTGCCAGTTAGTAAGAGCTTTTTGTGTATTAGTAATAATTATTAATCCTTTCTGGAAGCAGGAGCGGCATCCACTTCCGAAATGGTTTCCCTCCGGAAACTCTATGTACGAACAGTGCTCAGGCCGTTTGTTCATAGGGTCACTATGAGTCATCTACGACACGACTCAACGGCATCAAACAACAACAGCAACATTAATCCTTTAGCTCTTAGCTCTTTGTATGTGTTCCCTCAAATCTTTTGTTTGCGTCTTGGTTTGGTTATTATAGCTTTTGTAACATAAATTGTGTTTAATTTTTGTACACACAGACATAGCTATCTTTTCTTTCTAGTTAAGAAACAGATAAAAGTGTTGCCTCCTAGGTTTTCATTGAACTTTTTTGATGCTTTATTTATTACTTTTATGCATTTACTCCATCTGGAATTTCATTTTTGTTTATAATGTGAGATAGAGGACTGAGTATTTTTCTACCAGATGGGTAGCCAGTTGTGCCAGAAACCATTTATTAAATTGAATCAAAATATCTCTTGGTCATGTAAAAACATGTCTTGTAAACAGGATGTTCTTTCTGGATTCTCTTCTCTGTCTCACTGATGGATCTGTCTACCTTTTCCTACACCGGTACCCCATATTGACTTAATTATGGCGGCTGTATTAAATTCTTTTCTTTTTCAAGCACTTATTTTCTCTATAAACTCTGAGATAATTTTATACAGTAAGTTGGAATGATATCTATGTGTTAAAATTCTTTGATGATTTCAGACATACTTTTTTTTAAAAAAGAAACTTTTTAAATTTATTAATTATAATGACAGTTTACAGAGACTTAGGATTTCCAGTCACTCATTGTTGCACTTTTCTCCCTGCCCACCCCCTCCCCCCAAATCACTCCTCTCCTTGAAAAGAAAAAGAAAAACTTTCATTGTTATGCAAACACTCCCCTCAAGTTCTCCACTGTGCAGCCTTCATTCTGTACTTCTGTAGTGACAAGAATATCCATTCATATATTCTTTTTAAACAGTTCTCTCCCTCACCTGTTTCAATGCAATGTACATCATTCCTCCCTTCTTATCTGTCTTCTCTCAACCCTGATGTCAGCCCGTTTTACAATAGTGGCCCTGTGCAAGATTTGCCCTTTTGTTACTGAGATAGTTCAGTCAGCATCATGTCCTCCAGGGTCACCCATTTTGCATAATATTTCATGAGTTCTTTGTTTTTCAATGCTGCATAGTATTCCATTGTGTGAATATACCACAGCTTCTCTAGCTATTCATTTGTTGATGGGCACTTGGGTTGTTTCCATCTAAGAAGAAATATTTTAAGAGCAAGTATAGTTTTGCAAAAAAGTTTTTAAGTGCTGCACGATTCCAATATGCTATTCACCCAGTTTCCTCTATTATTAACCTTGCTTGCTGAAACTGAAAAGGACCTGCATTTGCTACTAAAGGACTGTAGTTTGTAATATGGACTGATGCTCAACATCAAGAAAACAAAAATTCTCACCACTGGGCCAATTGGCAGCATCATGATGGACGGAGAAGAGACTGTTAACAATTTCAGCTTGCTCAGTTCCACAGTCAACACTCTTAGCACCAGCAGTCAGGAAATCAAAAGATGAATTGTATTAGGGAAATCTGCTGTCAGGACCTTTCCTGAGTGCTGAAGAGCAATGATGTTCAGTCTGGAGACTAAGGAG